ACCCCCTCGGTCCTCCCGAGCCGCCCCGCGGAGCTTTCGTCAGGCCAGGCCCGCCCCCGGGTCCCCGCCCCAGGCTTCCGGCTCCCGGTCCCCTGCCCCGCGGCGAGGGTCGCCCCCAGCATCCGATCGCCCTGCTCCAGGCGTCCCCGTGAGCCCGGCGGAGGTAGTTGTGACCGAGGGCTGGTAAAGGGGGTGTGTTGGGAAGGAAGCGACTCCAGCCCCGCGTCGTGGTCGGAACGGGGGCCGGGGGGGGGGCCGAGAAAAGTGGTTGTTGCCTCGCCAGGTCCCCGTACTTGGTCCAGCGGTGGGTTGGATCAGTCATTGCAAGTGCAGACTACCTTTTCTGGGCTGTTGGTTGGACCCTCACTTTTCTCCGGCCGCAGGTAGTTACACCAGGAGGTCCTCTTTTGACATGCCCATATATGCATACAGTGTATGATCAGACTCCCCACCCCACCCCACCCCCCGCCGCTCGCCCTGCCTCCCTGCCCCGCACCCTACCTCAGCAAGCGCTTGAGACGCCTTCCCAGACTTGCCACTTACCAACTGCGTGTGACACTGGGCAGAGAGACGTGGATCTCTGAACTTCCATTTGTGAAGTGGGGGTGATTCTCTCTGTTGGGCCTGGGGTATTTGGGGAGAGCTAAAAAAATCCTAGGCCAGCAGGAGCTCTTAGCCGCCTGTGATGACACCTGCCTGCTAACCTGCTTCACGCTTGGCTCTTTTGCGGAAAAACCCAGAATCCTAGTATAAAAGAACGGTGTTACAGGCCCATTTCCAAATACACTTGTTAGTAAAGTGTAGTGAATGTTGTTTTCAGCTAGGTACTGGTAGTCTGTCACCCTGGCTCCATTGTAGGCTGAGATTTAAGGATCACTATTGGAAGCCCAGTTTAAAAGCTAGCCCCAGAAGACAAATCTGAGAAACTCTTTATCTCTCCTTAACCAGGAACAAAGCTAAAAGATTAAAAAAAAGTGGAGATATGGTCCAAGTGGTAAGAGGACCAGCCTTGAGTGGGAAAAACTAAGGAAGAACATGAGGCCCCCGAGTTCAAATCTCACTACTGGCACACACATGCACACAGAGAGAGTTTTCCCATTTTATGCAATTTACACTAGATTTTTATTTGTGAACCCTTGGGGTTGATAATAATTGTGCAGCATAATTTAAATTCTAGATGGAAATGTAAAAGATGAGAAACTTTTGTCACTTCGCCACCCACTCTTTTGTTTTTTTCTCTTCAGTTATAATCCTAGCTACTCAGGAGGCTGAGATCTGAGGATCACAGTTCAAAGCCAGCCTGGGCAGGAAAGTCTGTGAGCCTCATCTCTGATAAACTACAGAAAAAAAAAAAGCTAAAAGGGAAGCTCGGACAGCGCCCAGCCCCTGAGTTAAAAACCCAGGCTCTTTCGTGGGGAAAAGTGTTTTAAAAAAACTTATTTTGCAATCTACTACCAAGTTTCTATTTCTAACTTTTGAATATTTGTCTTCTTGGGGCCAACTAAAATCCTGATTTTGACTCTGCAATTTGTGTTTATTTATATTAGGTTAAGTTTACTGCACTAGGGAAAGTTGCCAAGGGAAAGTTGTAGGGAGGAGTTATGCCTTTTTGTTTTGTTTTCCTGCCCAGTACCTGAAAGGCTTTTAAGTTACTTTAAACAATAAATATTTGTAATACCTCTCTTATCTGTTTCCTGTCTTGAGTTGCTAGGGACTAAACTTACAAAGTGAATCACATTCTCCCACCTCAGTCCCTCCTAATCTTTTGTTAGATAAAGGGTTTGAGAACTTAACGAAGCTTAGAAAATCTTTAAAGTTGATGACTCTTGAGGTAAAGATTTTCATTAATTTATTTTCTGCCAGTCCTGGGGCTCGAACTCAGGGCCTGGGCACTATCCTTGAGCTTCATTTTCAGCTTTTTCTTTGGTACTGAGGAATCGAACCCAGGGCTTCATGCATGCAAGGCAAACACTCTACCACTAAGCCACATTCCCAGCTGTCAGTCTTCACTCTAATCCATGCCTGAAGTGCACTGCATCCCCAGGATTTGTGTGTTACAACTATCAGAATCCTGTATACCCAGCAGCAGTTCACTCCTCGTTCCTCATTAACTCTTATCTCCCTCATACTTTATTTTGTGGGGTGAAGAGAGTGAGTTTTTAGAGAGGAATATCCATAGCATATAAATTTACCGTTTTAATAGCTTTTTAACGTATACAGTCCAGTAAGTTTGAGACTGATACTCTGTTTAAAAAATGTTCTATGCAGGGCTGGGAAGGTGGCTCAGTGGTAGACCGCTAGCCTTGAGCTGAAGAGCTGAGGGACAGCGCCCAGGCCCAGAGTTCAGGCCCCATGAGTGGCCAAAAAAAAAAAAAGTTCTATGTTTATAAAAGATGATAATGTATCTTTGCAAAAATTGAACTAGGGTTAATGATGTGGCTCAGTCCTGGAATGCTTCCTTTGTATGGACAAAGTCCTGACTCAATCAATCCATAGTACCAAAAAAGAAAAAAAGGCCAGAAGAGAAAAATAGAGGTCGGAAACTCTTTCCAGTAAAACTTATAAAATGGTGTGCTGCTTATGGAAGGACAGTGGGATTTTAGTTTCTAATTAGATGTTCTAAGCTGTTTGGGAAAGAGTAGACTGTAGTTACTTGAGTCTTTTTGTTAAAGTCTATGAACTGGAAAATTTCTTTTAAAGAATTCCCAGTACCAGGCATTGGTGGCCCATGCCTGCAATCCTAGCTACTCAGGACGCTGAGATTTGGGCATTGGGCTTAAAGCTAGCCTGTGCAGGAAAGTCCATGAGACTTTTTTTTGTCGGTCGTGGGGCTTGAACTCTGGGCCTGGGCACTGTCCCTCAGCTCTTCAGCTCAAGGCAAGCACTCTGCCACTTGAGCCACAGCGTCCCTTCCGGTTTTCTGGTGGTTTATTAGAGAGAGGAGTCTCACAGTCTTTCCTGCCTGGGCTGGCTTTGAACCATGATCCTCAGATCTCAGCCCCCTGAGTAGCTAGGATTACAGGCATGAACCACCAGCACCCATCTCCACAAGACTCTTACTTCCAGTTAATCATCAAAGAAAGCTAGGAGTAGGGCTGTGTGGCTCAAGTGGTAGAGCACAATCCTTGAGTAAAAAAGCTCAGGAATAGTGAGTGCCTAGGCCCTGAATTTAAGCTCTAGGACTAGCACAAAAAAGAGAGAGAGAATTCCTAATTGCCTGTGTTTTCTTATTAGGCGCCTTGGTGCTGAATTGGGGAAGTCTGTTGTATACCAAGAGACCAATGGAGGTAAGTCAAGGTTTTTCTTAAACGTATTTCTTTTCTAAACTGCTTATTCAGCTTGCCTGGTGAACCAGCCTAGCTGATAAATATTTCTTTCATCAGTGATGTCAAGAGCAGTACATTCTAGGAATACTTAATGACATTAAAAAATCCTTTTGCCAAGCATGACGGCTTAATGCCGCTAAACTTAGCTATGCTTAAGAGACAGAGATTGAGGGGGCTGGGAAGGTGGCTCAGTGGCTCAGTGGTAGAGCGCTTGCCTTGCATGCCTGAGGTCCTGGGTTCGATTCCTCAGCACCACATAAGCAAAAAGAAAAAAGCTGGAAGTGGCGCTGTGGCTCAAGTGGTAGAGCGCTAGTCTTGAGCTGAAGAGCTGAGGGACAGTGCCCAGGCCCAGAGTTCAGGCACCACGACTGGACCCAAAAAAAAACAAGAGCAAAACAGAGATTGAGAGGATCTCCAAGGCCAGCCTAGGCAGAAAAAAAAATCTCTTGATTAGTGCCTTTAATCGTAGCTACTCAGGAAGCTGAGAGCTGAAGATCTCTGTTCAAGCCAGCCCAGGCAGGAAACTCCATGAGACTCATCTCCAATTAACTACCAGAAAACCGGAAGTCAAGCTGTGGTTCAAAGTCGTAGAGCGCTAGCGTTGAGCACAAAAGCTCAGGGAAAGCACCCACACCTGTGATCCAAGGCCTAGGATTGACAAAAATAATAATGAAAGCAAAATAGTCTGGGGGTAGGGCTCATGTGGAAAAGTCCCTGCCTTTATAAAAGCACAAGGCCCTGAATTCAAACCTCAGTACCACACAAATAAAAGTGCTCTTTAGGGCTGGGAATGTGGCTTAGTGGTAGAGTCCTTTCCTAGCATGCATGAAGCCCTGGGTTCAACTCCTCAGTACCTTATAAACAGAGAAAGCAGGAAGTGGCACTATGGCTCAAGTGGTAGAAGGCTAGCCTTGAGCTCAGAGAGGCTCAAGTAGTGTCCAGACCCTAAATTCAAGCTCCAGGACTGGCAAAAAATAAAATAAAAGTACTCTTTAAATTCTTTACATCTTTAACTTTTTTTCAAGTATCTACAGATTTTCACACTAGGTAAAGTAGGTAGCCCATTTTTGCCTTCCCCTGTACAGTGTGAAAATTAGACGGTGACATTAACGGTAAGTGATGGCACCTGAAGCACTTAGCTGGTGGCTGATGTCTCACAGATGCGAATCATAAACCTCTTAGTGGACCATAGACCTTAAATCGCCTTACATACTTACTCCTGTTCATTGCAAATTAGTACAAAATAATGTAATTGTTTTTTACAAAGCGGGAGTGCAGGTGCCAATTTTATGCTTCCCTTTTCCTTTTTAAGCTGTATTTTCACAAAGCTTGAGAATAAGAATTGCTAAGATAGTGATGTTTTGGGCATACCTTGCCCCCAAAGTCTCCCATTTTCCCCTATTTGAGTGCAATGCACCATTATCGAGGTATGTTCAGGTCCTGTATGTATATAAATATAAATGTAAATAAATAAGTAAATATATATATTGGTTGGTCATGGGTCTTGAGCTCTGGGCCTGGGCACTGTCCCTGAGCTCTTCAGCCCAAGGCGAGCACTGTACCACTTAAACCACAGTACCACTTTCTGTTTTCTGGTGGTTAATTGGAGGTGAGAGTCCCATGGACTTTCCTGCCCAGGCTGACTTTGAACTGTGATTCTCACATCTCAGTCTCCTGAGTTGCTAGGATTATAGTCATGAGCCACCAGTGCCCAGATTTTTTTGTTTTTTAAGTTTTTATTTATTATTATTATTTGTGTGTGTGTGTGTGTGTGTGTGTGTGTGTATGTATATGTATGTATGTACTGGCATGCCAATACTAGAGCAGGAACTAAGGCCTGGGTGCTGTCATTGAGCTATTTTGCCCAAGGCTAGCACTCTACCACTTGAGCCACAGCTCCACTGTAAACTTTTTTTGTATGTGTGTATATATGTTCATTTGCAGGTAAGAGGCTCATAGATTTTCTACTTGGGCTGGCTTTGAACTGCAATCCTCAGATCTTATACTCCTGGGTAACTAGGATTACAGGTGTTAGCCACCAGCACCTGGTCATACTTTATTCTATTTATTTATTTCCTGGTGCTGATACTGGGGCTTGAACTCAGGCCCTGATGCTGTTGTTCCTGAGCTCTTTTGCTCAGGGCTGGTGCTCTACCACTTTGAGCCATAGCATCACTTCTGGTTTTCTGGTGGCTAATTGAGAGATCTGGCATCAAACCACAATCCTCAGATCTCAGCCTCCTGAGTAGCTAAGATTACAGGCATGAGCCACTAGTACCAGCTTATTACTACCACTACTACTACTACTATTATTATTATGGCTTACTTTCCTCCTAGTTTGACTGTGTTTTCTTTATGTTCTTGTCATTCTGAAATCTATTAAAGAATTTGTTTGAGTCAGATACGGTGGTGCACACCTGTAATGCAGCCATGTGGGCAGCCAAGGTAGGAAAATTGAGATCTGAGGCTGGCCTAGGGATAAGCTGGAAGTCCTATCTGAAAGCAAACTAAAGGTAAGGACTGGGGACATGCCTCAACTGAAAGTACACCTGCCTAGCAAACTTGAGGCCCTGAGTTCAGAACCCAAACAAATATATAGATTTGATATTACATCATCGAGGGAAGTATTGGTTTATATTTCACTTTATTTCCTCTAAATGCCTTCTACGTATTAAAGTGTTTTTCTTAGAAAGAAAAGGAAACCAGCAACTTTAGAACATGTTTATCTTTCAGAAACAAGAGTTGAAATCAAAGAATCCGTCCGTGGCCAAGACATTTTCATTATCCAGACAATACCCAGGTAAGAGCACCTGCTACTTTACATTTCCCTGACTGATTCCCCGAGCCTTAACGATAGAAGTCAAGATCCCTTCACCGGAACAACAATGCGGGGTGGTTGATGTTTGAACTGTACGACTGGATGTGTATAAAACTAGATGCTTCCTAAAATTCCGCCCTTGTTTTCTGAGTTCCTGTTTGTCATATTCTACATTTGTCATATTTGATCATCTTCCAAATTTTAAACCCCTCAAGGGAAAAATCCTTCTGTATGCACTGAGTCAGGCAGTGTCTGCCAGCTCGGCCCTGCTGGAAAGCTTGTAGACATTGGCACACTTCATGGCTGCCTGGGCTGGGTATGTGAGCATTCTGGATGTGCAACACTCTGCCCACTTTCTGTATACCAGGAATTGTTTGGTGCAAGGATCAGTGTATTCTAGTGTTCAAGGATCAATGCATTCTAATGTTCATAGATGCACCTGCACGGTAAATACTTGGAGCATCTGCAGCAACACTACGTCTGACTGTTGGCTCCATTTGAATATATTATTTCTCCAGCAATTTTGGTTTTATATTGTTTACCTCCTGGTGACTGGAAGTCTTTTGGCTCATTGATTTTGACATGCACTGTAAATTGAGAGGAAAAAGGGGCCCAGGGTGGTAGCTCACACCCTTAACCCCAGCTCTTCAGGAAATACAGATTGGGAGGATTGCGGTTCAAGGCCAACCCAGGCAAAAAAAGATAGACCCCATTTTACCAAATAATCTGGGCATGGTGGCACAAGTGCGTAATTGTTTTGGTGCCAGAGGCTTAGGTAGGAGGATCATATTTCCATACTGGTTGAAGCAAAAACATGAGAGCCTATCCAAAAAAATAACAAGACAAAGGGTATAGAGAGTGTGCTCGCCCACCTAGCAACTGTGAGTTCAAGTCCCAATACAACCCAAAACAAAAAGCCAGATGAAGTCCTGAGGTGCTCCCTAGGAATCTGTGGGGCAGGAGATAGGCTTCCTTCGTTCCTCATAACTGGTGTTAGACTGAGTGCCAAGAACTTGGAGCAGGCTGAATTTCCTTGTAGATCTGGAAATGTGAATTCAGGTTAAAGAATGGGCATGCATTGCCACCTAGCAGAACCTGAGACCTTGCAGAGGTCATCAGTGAAGAAAATATTGTGTGCCAGGGTGGCTTGGAGACTGATAGAATTCATAGCAGCCCAGCCAGGAGCGAGGAGTGTTTCCTTACAACCTTCAGCACTGCCTAGACTTGTCTGCACTGAGACACCCATGTGCTATGTTTCTGTCCTTCCGGTCTCTGTTCATGTAACACCTAACAGCCAGGCACTGGTTGCTCATGCCTGTGATCTTAGCTACTCATGAGGTTGAGATCTTAGGATTGCAGTTCAAAGCCAGCCTGAGCAGGAAAATATATGAGACTCTGATCTCCAACTAACCACCAAAAAGCTAAAAGTGGTGCTGTTGCTCAAGTAGTAGAGCTCCAGCCTTGAGTGAAAAAGCTAAGAGACAATGCCCAGAACCTGAATTCAAGCCCAAATACTGGCATCAAAAAAAAAAAAAAAGCACCCAACAAAAGACCTTTGTTGGCCAGCCTTATAAAACCTTATGAGCCTTGTAAAAGCCTTATAAAAACTGAGTTGTTTTCCAGTACCTTTGCAGCCTTATATTCAGCTTTAGTGGCATAGAGTAAGATGCTGTGCTGCTCCAGACCTATGTGCTTTCCTTCATGCTGAAGTGAGAGCCAAGCTACCTTGGCTTTTTTCTCCCCAGCTCCTCAGGGCATGGGGGAGCATGGCATGTAGCTCCAGGCTCTTGGCATAGCTGTCTCAGACTGCTAGTCCTCCCATTACAGAGGGTGGCAGAGAACCGAAATCACTATCCTGTAAAGGACCAGCCTTGCAACAATCGCTAAGGTCTAAGTCCAATCAAGCTCAAGTAGCAGTCTGTGCAAGCATTGTGGCTAATCAGTGCTGATCTCATGAGCTTTGACCTAGTTCTCCAGGAAAAGACCCAGTGAGTGTATTGGGGTGGCAGGACCAGAGCAGGAGCAGCTGAAATGCGGGTACCTTGGATCTGTTGCTTGCACATGAGAATCTCCTGCATCAGGTGGTTTTAGATGGACTGCCCAGCCTGGCCGTGGATGGCTGGAGTTGACCAGCTGTGGCCATTCAGATGTGGCTGCAGGAGCATTGGGAGAGTTGAGGCTTTGTGCCTGTGAAGAGCATATTTTGATGCCTTTATTTAGGTATTTTTTTGTTTTGTTTTTGCCAGTACCAGGATTTGAAGTCTGGGTCTTGCACTTGCTCATGGCTGGTGCTCTACCACTTGAGCCGCACTTCCAGCCTGACTTTTTGTTGGTTATTTTGGAAATGAAGTCTCACAGACTTTCCTACCCAGATTGGCTTCAAACTGTAATCTTTCAGATATTAGCCTCAGAGTAGCTAGGATTACAGGCATGAGCCACCAGTGCCCAACTACGGTCTAACTACTTGTGCTTTTCTCCATGTTCTGGGACAACAACCGTGTATCACTGTGCCTAGATGTCCACCTATCTAGCCCAGGCTAGCTTCGAACTTGAGATTCTCCTGCTACTCCTTTCTGAGTATTGGCATTGCAGATGTATGCCACTGTTAAGTGTTTTTCTAGTGTGCTTTTTTCCTGAGGCCATCATAAATTCTTTTCTACTTCTTTTTTTTTTTTTTTGGGTCTGGTCGTGGGGCCTAATTTGGACTTGAGCGCTGTCCCTCAGCTCTTCAGCTCAAGGCTAGCGCTCTACCACTTGAGCCACAGCATCACTTCCGGCATTTTTTCTTTTTGCTTATGTGGTGCTGAGCTCTACCACTGAGCCACCTTCCCAGCTCCAAATTCTTCTCTACTTCTATTGTGATTTTCCTTTTTGGCTAGCCCATGGGTAGACATGTAACCATAGCATCCTGGAGGTCTTCACTTTGGTGTGTGTTCATACATGCAGATTGCGTGTGCTGCAGGTCCAGGAACAGCTGTATCCATACTGTGTGTGACACATGGCTCCCTCCACAGCCCCACCAAACATGAACCCCACGAGCAGAGACTTTTGCTTGTTCACTGCTGTCTATAATACCTCAAACAGTGCTGAGTTTCTGGCTTATAACAGATCTCCCCCCTTGAATTTTTGTTTACTAGATTGTGTGTGCATGTGCGCGAGTGTGTGTGCGAATGTGTGTGTGTGTGTGTGTGCGTGTGCGCACGCGCGCTGTGGATGAAACCCAGGCAAGCGCTCTGCCACTGAGCCACACACCTGCACAATCACACACTCTCAACACTGCCCCTTTGTCACCCCCTCCCTATGTTCATGGTCACCCCAAACAGCCAAGATGTTGGCCTTGGTGTGGGAACAACACGGTGTTAACGTCTTTTGAAATAAGAAGTTACATTTTAATTAATTCTTGGTCTCCAGATCTCAAGGTAGTCAAGAGTTCTCAGGGTGAATATTCATTATAGCAGTCTAGCCTGACAGTGGGCTGGGAAAGAGGAAGAACAATTGGGTGACTCCCAGGGAGAACAAAGCAGCAAGGAGAGAGGAGGGCTGATCCCATCTGCAGCCACTTCTTTACTGTATCACAGCCTTAGAAAACAAGTGAAGAAGGGGCTGGGAATGTGGCTCAGTGATAGAGTGCTTGCCTAGCATGCATGAAGCCCTGGGTTTGATTCCTCAGTACCATATAAACAGAAGAAGCTTGAAGTGGTGCTGTGGCTCAAGTGGCAGAGTGCTAGACTTGAGCCAAAAGAAGCTCAGGGACAGTGCCCAGGCCCTGCGTTCAAGCCAGGACTGCAAAAAACAAAACAACAACAAAAAATAAGTGAAGAAGTCTTGGGAGCAGTCCTCAGGCTGCAAAGGGCTGAATCCTTAACAACAGCCAAGAGGAGGGCTTTGCCCTTGAGGCAGCTCAGAGCCTCTGTAAGGGTACACGCGTGCACCCGTGCGCAGCAGCAGTCAGCTTGGCAGTGTCAGAGCATAACCTGCCAGTTCCTATGTCTCTGGGATGATGGGGATGAAAGAAGAGAAGAAAAAGAATGGTGAAGGGGGAGGGGGTGTACGTGTGTTGTTTGGGTGTGTATCCATAAAGAAGTTTATTGGGCTGTGTGTGGTGGTGCATACCATAATCTTAGAGGCTGGAGGAGCTTAAGTTGGCTAAAGACCCACCCAGGCTATAACAAGACTTTGTCTCAAAAAACAAAAGGATTTGGGGCCCTTCACAATAAACTAGTGCTATTATCACTTACGTACCAACTAAGGGACACGCCTCTAATCAAGCCACTGAAAAATAACTGAAGCAAAAAAGGGCTGGAGGTATGGCTCAAGTAGTAGAGCTCCTACTTAGCTAGTGTGAGATACTGAGTTCAAACTTAGTAATAGAATTTAAATGCCCAGGGCCTATGCTCTTTTACTCAAGGCCAACGGCCACTTCTGGCTTTTTCTGAGTAGTTTATTGAAGATAAGAGTCACAGGGACTTTTCTGCACTGAGCTGGCTTTGAACTGCAGTGCTTAGATTTAAGCTGTCTAAAGTAGCTAGCCCACCAGTGTCCCACTAGATTTTTCCCCCCACCCCTGGTCGTGGGGCCTGAACTTGGCCTGGGCACTGTCCCTCAGCTCTTCAGCTCAAAGCTAACACTCTACTACTTGCGCCACAGCGCCATTTCCAGCTTTTTCTGCATATGTGGTGTTAAGGAATCAAGCCCTGGGCCTCATGCGTGCAAGGCAAGCGCTCTACCACCGAGCCACCTTCCCAGCCCTAGAATTTAATTTTTTTTTTTTTTTTGGGGTCCGGTCATGGGGCCTGGACTCTGAGCCTGGGCACTGCCCCTCAGCTCTTCAGCTCAAGGTTAGCGCTCTACCACTTGAGCCACAGCACCACTTGTGGCTTTTTTTTTTTTTTTTTGCTTATGTGTGCTGAGGAATTGAACCCAGGGCCTCAAGCATGCAAGGCAAGTGCTTTACCACTGAGCCACCTTCCCAGCCCATACAATTTAAATTTTTAAATAATACCAATGGTAGCCAACATCTGCAATCATAGCAACTCAGGAGGGTGAGATCTGAGGACCCAGGTTTAAAGTCCACTCAGGCAGACAAATTCTCAAGACTTTGTTGTTGTTGATCATGGGGCTTGAACTCTGGGCCTGCGTGCTATCCTTCAGCTCAAGTTGAGTGCTCTACTACTTGAGCCACAGCGCCATTTCCAGTTTGCTGGTGGTTAATTGGACATAAAGAATCTCACGACTTTTCTGCCTGGGCTGGCTTTGAACTACAATCCTCAGATCTCATCCTTCCAAGTAGCTAGGATTATAGGCATGAGCCACTGGCACCTGGCTTTTTTTTTTTTTTAAGGGTGATGTCAGAGGGGTTACAGTTACATAAGTAAGGTGATGAGTACATTTCTTGTTGAACATTATTTTCTCCCACTTTTTCTTTTTCTTTTTTGGTTGGTCATGGGGCTTGAACTCTGGGCTTGGGCGCTGTCCCTGTGCTCTTCAGCTCAAGCCGAGCGAGCGTTCTACCACTTGAGCCACAACGCCACTTCCTCTCCTCTCCCACTTTTTCTCTCTCCCCTCCCAATCTCAAGACTTTTATCTCCAAGTGACCAGCAAAATGTCAGAGCTGGTGGCATGGCTCAAGTGGTAGAGCGCCAACACTGAGCCTAAAAGCTGAACCAACAGCATGAAGCCCTTAGTTCAAGCCTTAGTATCTACACATAAAAACAATAAAGAATATAGATAATTTAGTGTTTTTTTTTTTTTTACTATTTTGTGCTTATTAGAGTTGAAGAAATGTGTCTTAGATATATGGGTGGGTGCGTGCATATGTGTGTGTGTGTGTGTGGTGTGTACATATATATATATATGTTTGTGAGATGATGGTGTACAGAATGGGTTTGGAACACTTGAAACCACTCAGAACTTACTTGTAGTAGGTTTCCTTTGACTATTCCAATATTAACAAGGCTTTGGTTGCTGGGAGTGGATCTAAGTCTGAGCACAGCCCAACCATCCTTGATGAAGGATGATTATGGGATTATTGAGCTGTGCAGTACTACTCAAGAAAATGTGTGTACTGAGCAGAATAACTTAAGTCAATAAATATGAAGCTTAAAAGGTGCTTTTTTGAAGGACATGTTCCTGGCTATGTACAAGCACTTGCACATTGATGTGAAATTAGTCATTCACTTGCCATTTACAACTTAACTTGCTGCCAGTGATGAGTGGCTGGGCCGGGGTAAGTCCTGCGCCGTTATCATGTTTCATTACCTGTATCCATGGCGTTGCCTATCATTTGCAGCCCTGAGCAGTTTAATGTACTGTGTGTGGTGTATATTTTCTCATCTCCCATTAGTTTTTGTCTATTCAGAACAATAAAGCAGTCAAGGCTGACTTTAATACAGCATGTGATTACCCTTGGGAAAAGAAAAAAACAGTTGGTAAAATAGTTAAGATTGTCCTACTTCGATACAAGGACTCCAAGAACTAGCCAGGATGTACTGGGAACATTGTTAGGGAACAGATAAACAAAGCAAGCCTGCCAGCCACGTTCCTTCCCCCTGCTAGCCCACAGAGCAACCGCCTGTGTCCGATTCCTTCAGTATCTCAGCAAATGGGGGAAGCCAGTGCCACAAAGGCCCCTTTGTCGCCTTGCTGGCCAGGAGGGAAGAGGGCGACAGGGAGGCTTTCCTTAATCATCTTGGGTTGGATAATGTTGAATTCCTTAGCATGAGTCATCAGGTAGAAGAACGAGTGGAAAATAAAACCCTCATGTGGAAAATCAGTGAAATGAAAGAAAAGTTCCCCAAATATTGTTCGTTGTGCTGGGCCTGCCAACCTCCTGATACCAGGCAGTCCTGTATTGTAACTCACAAGGCCAGCAAATACAGACCCGCTGCTCAGACACCTGCACTCACCCCGTCTGCTCAGATAACCTCAGCTCCCATTGCTGTTGGCGTTAGTCCCTGTGCAACATGTGGAACTTCTCAATCAGCTGGGGGAGCTAAGAAGTGCTCTAGTGTCATTTCCAAGTAGCCCCCCTCCCAATGGGAAAGAACCTCCGTGATGTCTGCTGTTGAGTCTCAGCGCGGACTCTTGGGATTTTATGTGCCATCCTCTGGGTGCTGTGCAGGCGCCCAGCTAACAGTGTTTGGTTGATGTAATGCAGTGAGCCAGGCCTGTCCTGTGTAGACTTGTCAAGTGTGAACATCATTGGGACAGAGCATTCCTGCTTGAGTCAGCTGACCTCCTTGGGCCAGGTGACTACAGCAAGGGATCTGAGTGGTCTTCAGCCTCCCCCTGAGGGTGGGGGGGGTCTACCTTGTTTGCTGGTTTGTCATTTGCCCCCGCCCCTCATACCTGACCCTGTGCTTGACTCATCTTGTTCAATGAGTATGTTGTCTGTTCCCTGACCAAACATTGGGACTTCCCAAAGACCTTGAATGTACTTGGTAATTGTTTCTTATTCTGGTAATTCCATGTGACTGCGTCTTCTGACCCCTGTGCCGGACTTGAGCATTATTAATTTGGGAATATGAAGACAACAAAAAGTGGTTCAGTTTATATCAGAGGAAAGATGTTATAAGGAAAAAAGATTGGAGTTGAGTCCTGGAACCACAGTGCCTACCCTGGAGAGACTAAACCAGAAACCCATAATGATGACAGCACATACAAATGACACTCCAGGAGTGAGCATGATGTGGAGAACATTTGTCAGCCAAAGGAACTTGCCACCCCTGTCCTCTTCCTCAGCTCTGCCCCTAGTGGGAAGGGACGGGCGGCAGCCTCCTGACCTCTAAGCTGGAGGCCTGGCTCCATGGCTGTCCCTCTCAGCCACCTAGTTGACAACTATGCTGAAGTCTGCTGTCATCCACTTCCCAGTACCAGTGGCTGTCTCTCTAGTAACCTATCAGTTCAAGAATTGCACCTGAAGCGCTTGCGCCTCCCTCGGGCAGTCTGTGATGTGAGGGTCCCTCCTAGGCTTAGAGAAGGGGGGTGTTAAGGACTAGTGGAGAATCTGGGGAGTGGGAAGAGGCTAAATGATGTCAAGATTGCTGTTCAAAAGGGCAGCACTGTTGGGCTGGGAATGTGGCTTAATGGTAGAGGGCTTGCCTAGCATACATGAAGCCCTGGGTTCGATTCCTCAGTGTCACATAAACAGAAAAGGCTGGATCTAGTGCTGTGGCTCGTGGTAGAGTGCTAGCCTTGAGCACAGAGAGGCTCAGGGACAGTGCCCAGGCCCTGATCCTCATTCCCCTCACATGCCTATCCTGCCTTTCACCAGGAAAACAGCAGATCTTTTGCACAACAGTGCCTAAGCAGATGGGCAGGTGTGCTTCCCATGGCATTCACACTGGCCTCAGTCTGAATCCCTGGGAGGTGCTAGCAAATGTCAGGTCACCCGGGTCCAGCAGCTGCTTCCTATGCCACTGCAGTGACCAAGTCACTGAGCAGAAGATCCAAGCGAAGGTGAGACAGGCCCCCAACCTGGGCTTGAGTATCCACAGGTGAAAACCAGAGCTGAGTCTGCCAGGAACACCTGCATCTTTCCCCCCTGCTTTTGTGAGGTGCCATCGTGAGCTGGTATGACAGATAAAATGCCTCCTGTACCCTCCTCGCAGGCCCTGCTAGCGACTAATACATGGAACCCACACAAGAACACAAATCTTACCGGAAGTGGAGCTATGGCTCAAAGTGGTTGAGAGCTAGCCTTGAGCAAAAGAGCTCGAACAGTACCCAGGCCCCAAGTTCAAACCCCACGACCAAAAAAATACAAAAACACAAATCTTGCCTGTTTCAGAGATGTGAACACAGCCGTGATGGAGTTGCTGATCATGGCCTATGCGCTGAAGACGGCCTGTGCCAGGAATATCATTGGCGTCATCCCCTACTTCCCCTACAGCAAGCAGAGCAAAATGAGGAAGAGGGGCTCCATTGTGTGCAAGCTCCTGGCATCCATGCTGGCAAAAGCCGGTGAGTGTCAGACAGAGATTGGGGGTCCGCTACTTTTCCTTCCCTGTTAGGGATATATAGGCGTGTAGTTTGGGACGTATTTCTTCACATGTTCACTGATTACATTTTCCTTTTGTATAGTTTGGTTAGCCGTAAGCTTCGGTATTAAATTCTTCCTTTTCTCTGTCTTACATTAGAATGATACTGCTTCAGTGGTTTCTCCTCTGATTATGAACTGTTCCTATGTTCTGTATTACCTGTTCCATTTCATCTTGTCATTTGGGTAGTTGACTGCCATCCTGTGATCTGAGCTCTATCAGCTACATTACTTTCTTTTTGGTACCATCCTGGGGCTTGAACTGTTTTTGAAGGTTTTGGTTTTTTTTGTTTTGCTCTACCACTTGAGCTGCAGCTCCACATCCTTTTTTTTTTTTTTTTTTTTTGCTGGTTAATTGGAGATAAGAATTTCACAGTTGCTGGGCACTGGTGACTCACACCTGTAATCCTAGCTACTCAGGAGTCAGATCTGAGGATTCCGGTTCAAAGCCAGCCTGGGCAGGAAAGTCCATGAGACTCTTATCTTCAGTAAACCACCAGAAAACCAGAAGTAGCCCTGTGGTTTAAGTGGTAGAGCTCGCCTTGAGCTGAAGAGCTGAGGGACAGCGACAAGGCCCAGAGTTCAAACCCCACAACTGAGAAGAAAAAAAATAAATCTCACAGTCTTCCCTTCCTGATTGGCTTTGAGCTGTGATTCTTAGATCTTAGACTCCTGAGTAGCTAGGATTGTAGAAATGAGCCACCAGTGCCTGGTGCTATGTTCTTTTTCTGTTCATACCATTTAAACTTAATTTTTCTTTTACTTCTACTTCAATTTTTATTCTCTCTCCTCCCAGCACCCAGTTCTCTTGTGTCCAGCAGCTCATTTTCATTGTGTTTGTGCTCCTTGTATGGCGGTGTCCTATAAGTCAAATGTAATAACATGTTACAGTGATTTTTACTTGTCTGATGCTTGTTAGAAATGCTGCTGATTTGCTCTGGAAGTTTTCCAGTGACCTTTGACCATTTGCAGTGTATTTATAGATATGAGGGGAATTATTCAAACTGCAGTATCATCCAATGCACATAGTATTTTGTCTTGCTTACTCTTTTTTAAAGTTATTTTCTGCCATACCTACTGGCCTTCACATTTCTTCTCTCTCCTCCTCCTCCTCCCCCTTCTTTGGTTTCAACTCAGGGCCTCACTTTTTTTTTTTTTTGTCAGCTGTGGGGCTTGAACTCTGGGCCTGGGCTCTTCAGCTCAAGGCTAGAGTTCTGCCACTTGAGCCATAGCACCACTTCTGGTTTTCTGGGTGGTTTATTGGAGATTTGTCTCACAAACTTTGCTGCCTCGGCTGGCTGTGAACCGCGATCCTCAGGTCTCAGCCTCCTGAGCCACTGGCACCTGGCTGAGGGCCTCACTCATGCTAGGCAGGTGCTCTACCACTTGAACCACTATGCCAACTCTCTCCCTACACTCTTTAATAAAGGCTTTCCTAATTTTCTGTGGTTGTACTGGCATTTGAACTTTGGGCCTTACACTTGCTGGTGCTCTAGATCCTTGAACCATACCTTCAGTCCTTTTTTGTATTAGTTATTATTTTTTGTTTTTTGGTCAGTTGTGGGGCCTGAACTCTGGGCCTGGGCGCTGTCTCTCAGCTCTTCAGCTCAAGGCTAGCATTCTGCCACTTGAGCCACAGCACTGCTTGTGGCTCTTTCTGCTTATGTGGTGCTGAGGAATTGAACCCAGGGTCTCATTCATGCATACAAGGCAAGCACTCTACCACCGAGCCACCTTCCCAGCCCTTGCATTAGTTATTTTTGAGATAAGGTCTCACTTTTTGCTCAGGCCTGTACTAGGACCATGCTCCTCCTATTTGAGGCTTCCTGTAGTTAAGTCCCAGTTATGCAGCCCCATGCTCACCTCTTCTGTTGAAAATGGGGTCTCTTGGACTTTCCTGTCCTGGCTGGCCTGAAAGTGTGATCCTCTTGTCTTGGCCTCCTGCATAGTTGGTAAGACTGGTGGATGTTGCTCTGTGATGATAAAGGGTCTTACCTGTATGCCTGGGCTGCTCAAAGCATGATCCTTCTGTTCAGTCTCTCCAGTAACCAGGATTATAGCTATGAGCTACCGGCTCTTTGTTTTTATGTTTTGTTTGGGTGTGTTGTTTGTTTGTTTGCTGAGATTTGAACTCGTGCTTACTTGGCTAGCACTCTACTACCACTTGATCCACACCTTCATCCCTGTCTTTTGCTGGTTATTTTGGAGGCATAATATCTAAAACTTTTTTACCCAGACTGGCTTCAAATCTCAGTCCTCCTAATGTTAGTTTCCTGACTAACAGGCCTGACTCTGCGCCCACCTCCCCCCACCTTTTTTTTTTTTTTTTTGGTCGGTCGTGGGGCTTGAACTCTGGGCCTGGGCGTTGTCCCTCAGCTCTTCAGCTCAAGGCGAGCTCTCTACCACTTGAGCTACAGCGCCACTTCCGTTTTCTGGTGGTTTATTGGAGATAGGAGTCTCACGATCTCTCCTGCCTTGGCTGGCTTTGAACCGTGATCCTCAGATCTCAGCCTCCTGAGTAGCTAGGATGACAGGCCTGAGCCACCAGCGCCCAGCTCCCCCACCTTTTTTATGCCTGCTGTTGCTTTGGTATTTATTAATTCCGTTAATCCCATGTTCATATTTTAGCTTCTGTCTGATTTTTCTTTTATCTATGCTCAAGCTTGTCATAAATGGGAGAGAGAGCATGCCTTTCTTAGCTTTTCATAAATGGAAGAGAGAGCATATCTTTCTTAGCTTTTTAGTTCTTTCTCCTCTGGAAAGTCCTGGCTTCTTGGTATTAGGCAGAACTTATTCTTCACTTTTTTTAAGGTTAACAATGAAGTCTGTAACTACATTGCGAGTCACAGTGTCACTGACTTCAGTGTGGTAGGAAGCAGGAGCTGAGCATCTAATTTATGTCCACTGTAGCCATGGACTTGTAGGGGAGAACTTTGTAATTTTTTGTTTTGAAATTTCAGGTTTAACTCACATTATCACTATGGATCTTCACCAAAAGGAAATACAAGGCTTTTTCAGCTTTCCCGTGGACAACCTTAGAGCCTCACCTTTCCTGCTTCAGTATATCCAGGAAGAAGTGAGGAGCCACCAACAAACACCCCTTTGCCCTCCAAGACATCCCATTTAGTGTCCTCTGGTATCAGATTTCACTATTAAGAGGCACATGAAGTGAGCTTTCCCTGAGTTGAAGCCACTGTATCCAGATAGACTCCGCATTTAGTCACAGAGGATGAGACGTTCAGAAGACGTTAAGAGCAAATTGCTTTCACTGCACTTTTATCAATTTGCTTTTTTGCTTTTTGAATGAAGGGTTTGGTTTTATTTGATGTTCTTGTTTTGTTTTGTTTTCAGAGTTGAGGACTGAACTCAGGGCCTTGCACTTGTCAGGCAAGTGCTCTTCCACTGAGCTAAATCCCCAATCTCATTCCTGGGGTTTGAACTGAGGACCTGGGAGCTGTTTCTGAACCTTGTTGCTCAAGGCTAGCCCTTTTTTTTTATTTCAGCCATAGTTCCAGTTTTTGTTTTTGGTGGTTAATTAGAGATAAATCTCATTCTTAACCTGCTTGGACTGGGTTTGAACTGAGATGCTAGATGTCAGCCTACTAAGCAGTAGGATTACAAAGCATGAGTCACCAGCACCTGGCTAAGAATTATTTTTGACCCTCTAGATGTTAGCAGTACTTTTGCAATCATGTCAAGCAATCATGTTAATTGATAAATGATGAGAAAGTTTAAATATTTGGATGCAATTCTAGCGTATTTGATTACTAGTGTACATTACTATATGAAGAAGAAAATATGTATACAAGTGTCCAGGTATTTTTTTTAATAACTTCTCAGTATTTTTTTTTCCCTCCAAATCTAGATTCCAAACTACAGAAATGCAGTCATTGTGGCTAAGTCTCCTGATGCTGCAAAAAGGTAAGAAACCAGACATTTATAAAAATCCTATCTAGGGCTGGGAATGTGGCTTAGTGGTAGAGTGCTTTTTTTTGTTGTTGTTGTTGGTCATGGGGCTTGAACTCTGGGCCCACTGTCCCTCAGCTCTTCAGCTCGAGGCTAGCGCTCTACCACTTGAGCCACTGTGCTACTTCCTGTTTTCTGAGTGGTTTATTGGAGATAAGAGTCTCATGGACTTTCCTGCCCTGGCTGGCTTTGAATCATGATTCTCAGATCTCAGCCTCCTGAGCTAGGATTACAGGTGTGAGCCACCGGTGCTAACCTTGAGCAAAAAGAAGCTCAGAGACAGTGCCCAGGCCCTGAGGTCAAGCCCCAGGACTGGCAAAAAAAAAAAAAATTCACACGTAGGTACTTGTGAAATAGAATTGGCATCTGGGAATTGGGGGCTGCTGCAGCGTGGGCTGTAAGATCTCGGAGTCCTATCACCCTGGCTTTGTCTCCAGCCTGTAGACAGCACAGTGCAGTGCTGAGTTACTGGGTTTTCTTGAGGGAGAGAATGAAGCTCTTCCTTCAGAGTCTCAGGAAATGGAAAGCTGGCCAGAAGCATTTTTTTTTTTAGGAGTTTTAGAGACGTTTATAGTTGTTTCTGGTGGTGCTGGTCCTGAGGCTTGAACTCAGGGCCTGGGTGTTGTCCCTTAGGTTTTTTTTTTTTTTGCTCAAGAATGGAACTCTGCCACAGGTCCACTTCTGGCTTTTTGGTGGTTAATTGAAGAGTCTCACAGGTGGGTGCTGGTGGCTCAGGCCTGTAATCCTAGCTACTCAGGAGTCTGAGATCTTAGTATCACAGTTCAAAGCCAGCCTGGGCAGGAAAGTCTGTGAGTCTTTTGTCTCCCAGTTAACCACCAGAAAACTGGAAATAGAGCTGTGGCTCAAAGTGGTAGAACACTAGTCTTGAGTTAAAAGCTCTGAGATAGCACTCAGGCCCTGAGTTCAAGCCCCACAACTGACAAAAAAAAGAAGTTTCACAGTCTTTCCTGTCTGGGCAGGCTTTGAACCCAGTTCTCAGATCTCGGCCTCCTAGGATTACAGGTGTGAGCCACCATGCCCTTGCTTGCTCAACCTTTTGGGTAAAATTCTTCCGAAGACCAATATTGTAGAATATTGGACCACAAAAAGAGGAAACAAGAAAAACTGGGACAAAAGATAGAACCAAAATGGTTTAGACTCAGAACCCAGCTCCTGTGCCCTGAGCCATCTGCATTCTGGCCTGATTTATAGAAAGAATTCCACTGTGTGCCTTTAAAGGGCTCATCTGATCAACAGAGTGACAGCTGTCACCATCCATCACCCATTGCTCTTTTACTTCCTCATAGGGCCCAGTCCTACGCTGAGAGGCTGCGCCTGGGGTTGGCAGTGATCCACGGGGAGGCGCAGTGCACTGAGCTGGACATGGATGACGGGCGGCATTCCCCTCCGATGGTCAAGAACGCCACAGTGCACCCCGGCCTGGAGCTGCCTTGTAAGCCTCACTCTGACTTTGGATTCACTAAGCGAAAGCTTTATCCCGCAGGAGTGGCTGGGAGTTAATACCTGTCTGGGATATGTGCTTGCTTGCCTATTTTGCTTGTTTTGCTCTTTTTAAACAATCACATGGTATTTCCTTCATCTTTGTAAAGGAAATTGTGTGTGTTACTCATATTTGCAGACTGTGTAAGGACAGTTAAACTAATCCAGGTAGCATTTAGCATTCAGGAAACACTACACATTAAAACCTTTGTTCACTTTAGTAAGCAAGATGGGGTGGGGGGTAAAGTCCAAAGACTTTACACTTGGGTAAGCTGGGTGAGAACGTGATGATCAAATGATCAGAAATCAGGCTTTGGCCATGAACAACTCGAGCGTTTGTCTAGTAATGTAATGTAGCTCTTTGACCTGATTCCTGCTCACTTGCTGTTGATAATCCAGCACCGTGGAGTCCGTTCACTTCCATGGACTTTGAGTGACACAAACAAGCATTTACACTGGCAGATAGGTTCAAGGTTTTTTTAGAACAAGGAAATTATTTCTGGTTAGAATCTTATTAGCAACATTTCAGAACAATCTAGAGACTAATAGGATGGAGAAATACTCAGAGCTCCTTCCACTCTTCTTCAGAGGAGCATCCTTAGGGTTTTGCCCTATTTATCTACCAGGCTTCTTTTTATGTAAGAAGCTAAATAAGCCTGGAACGGGTGGCACACGCCTATAATCCTAGCTACTCAGGAGGCTGAGATCTGAGGATCAAGTTTCAAAGCCAGCCTGGCAGGAAAATCCTTGAGACTTATCTCCAGTTAACCACCAGAAAACTGGAAGTGGTAGTATGGCTCAAAGTGGTACAACCCTAGCCTTGAGTGAAAAAGCTCTGGGACAGCACCCAGGCCCTGAGTTCAAGCCCCACAACTGACCAAAAAAAAAAAGGAAAATAATTTATAATTTTGTTTGTAGATAAGTAGTTAATATCTCCCCCCCCTTTGCTTTTTTTTTTTTTCCCCTCTCGGTCATGGGGCTTGAACTCTGGGCCTGAGAGCTGTTCCTGAGCTCTTCAGCTCAAGGAAAGTGCTCTACCACTTGAGCCAAAGCGCCACTTCCAGTTTCCAGGCCTGGCTTTGAACACAATCCTCAGATCTCAGCCTCCTGAGTAGCTAGGATTACACACATGAGTTACCAGCGCCCAGCTTTCTTTAGGGCTTGAACTTTGGGCCTGGGCACTGTCCCTCAGCTCTTCAGCTCAAGGCTAGCACTCTTACCACTTGAGCTACAGCGCCACTTCTGGTTTTCTGGTGGTTTCACAGATTCCTGCCTGGGCTGGCTTTGAACCTGATACTCAGATCTCAGCCTTCTGAGTAGCTAGGATTACAGGTGTGAGCCACTAGCACCCAGCCTCTTTGATTGTTTTTTGAGACTTTTTTTTTTTTTTTGTCGGTCGTGGGGCTTGAACTCTGGGCTTGGGCGCTGTCCCTCAGCTCTTCAGCTCAAGGCGAGCGCTCTACCACTTGAGCTACAGCGCCACTTCCGGTTTTCTGGTGGTTTATTGGAGATAGGAGTCTCACGGTCTCTCCTGCCCGGGCTGGCTTTGAACCGCAATCATCAGACCTCAGCCTCCTGAGTAGCTAGGATTACAGGCGTGAGCCACCAGCGCCTGGCTTGAGACATATTTTTCTAAGTGGCTCAGACTATCCTCAAACTGGAGCTCTCTATTTAATCCAGGTTGGCCCTGAACTCAAGATCCTCCTACCTCTGCCTCCGCTCCCTTCCTGAATGCTAGGATTACTGGCATACCCACCACTGTCTTGCTTCATTCATAAACTCCTTTTTAAGGCAGAATTCTCAGTCTTTGTCTGTCATAGTTGTCCATATCATGGTTCTATCATAATTTATTTAATCAGTCTCCTATTGATGGTATATGGATTACTTTAAGCTTTGGCCGTGAGAAACAGCACTGTCATGATAACACACATATTGATCCTTCCTTACACACCAAGAGCTTCTCTATGCCATCCATTTAGGGACATGTATTAGCCTACTTCCTGCCACAGGGCGGTTGGCTTCTTTATCCTATTAGCTTTTAATTTTGAACTAACCTCCGACCTAGAGAAAAGGCTAAAGAAGCATACAGGGGACAGGGACTCTTAGCTCACACTTGTAATCCTAGCTACTCAAGAGGTTGAGATGTGAGGATTCCAGCCCAGGCAGACAAGTCCAAGAGCTTTTCTTTCTTTTTTTTTTTTTTCTTAACCAGCAAAAAACTGGAGCTAGAAGCATGGCTCAAGTGGTAGAGTACCAGCTGTGAGTAACAGCACAAGGCCCTAAGTTCAACCCCTGATAACTGGCACATGCCAAAAAGAAAAAAAAAAAGAATACAAGTGGTCTGGGGTAGTATGACTCAAGTAGTAGAGTGCCTGCCACCAAATGCAAGGCCCTGAGTTCATACCTTAGGACGGCCAGAAAAGGAAAAAAGGAAGAGAGAAATTTTTACTAATTATAGTCCATATTGAGGCCCCAAATCTAACATTCCATGTGCTGTTTTTTGTGTTATTTGAGAGTGAGCTAGAGACATAATGCTGAGTGTATATTGCCTAAATACAAAACAGTCTTACATAACCACTCAGGAAACTAGTGTTGTTACAATACTATTACCTAATTGCAGACCGTATCCAAGTTTTACCAGTGTCCTTCCAAACAAAAGGAAAAATGGTTTTTGGCTCAAGTCCTGATCTGGGGCTGCAGATTGCATTCAGTCCTCATTTATTTCTCTTCAGTCTCGTGTAGGGTAATCTGGACCGGCTTCTCTGTTCTTTGTCTCTGCTGACCTTGATGCTTCAGGCCAGTGCAGGCCAGTTATTTTACAGACTACTCCCTAATTGGAACTTGTTTGTGTCCTCATGCTTAGATGCAGGAATGTCACAGGAAACATGTGATGTGTCCTTTTTGCTGGTGAGGTTGATTTTGGTCCCTTAGTGAAGGTGGTGTCTGGCAGGTTTCCAATGGAAGTTAGTTACTGGCTTTTCCCTTTGTAAGTAATAGTGTCATAGACTGTAAAATGTTCTCTTTGAAGTGGCATCCATTGTTTTTGTTTTTGTCCTTGTTAATTGTCCAGGACCAGACTCAAACTCAGAATTTGACACTTGCTTTCACTCATTGGCCGGCACACTAACATCTGAGCTACACCTCCAACCCTCCATTGGTTTTTATTGTTTTGCTTTGCTTTGTTTTTGTGTTGGTGGTTCTGGGATTTGAACTCAGACCTGGGCATGGGAAATGAGTCCTTGAGATTTGTTTGCTTGGATTGGTGTTAAACTGTGATCCATAGATCTCAGACACCTGACTAGCTAGGATTATAGATAGGAGCCACCAGTTCCTAACAAAACCTAGAAATTTCATTTTCTTTTTCCTTTTTGTTCGTACTGGTCCTAGGGCTTGAACTCAGGCCTGGGAACTGTCTCTGAGCTTCTTTTGCTCAAGACTAGAGCTCTACTACTTGAGCCACAGCTCCACTTCCCATGTTTTTTGTAGTTTAGTGGAGATAAGAGTCTCACAAAGGGGCTGGGAAGGTGGCTTAGTGGTAGAGCGCTTGCCTTGCATGCCTGAGGCCCTTGGTTCAATTCCTCAGCACCACATAAGCCAAAAGAAAAAAGCTGGAAGTGGCACTGTGGCTCAAGTGGCAGAGTGCTAGCCTTGAGCTGAAGAGCTGAGGGACAGCGCCCAGTCCCAGAGTTCAGGCTCCACGACTGGACCCCCCCCCAAAAAAAAAAAAAAAAAAGTCTCACAGAGGGCCTGGGAATTCCATTCCTCAGTACTACATAAACAGAAAAGGCTGGAGTGGTAGAGTGCTAGCCTTGAGCAAAAAGAAGCTCAGGGACAGTGCTCAGACTCTTAAGTTAAAGCCCCAGGACTGGCAAAAAACAAGAGTCTCACAGACTTTCTTACCCAGGCTGGCTTAAAACCAGGATTCTTACATCTCAGCCTCCCAAGTAGTTAGGATTACAGCTGTGAGCCACTGGCTTTCGCCTTCCTTCCTTTATTCTCTTTCTCTTCCTCTCCCCTTCTCCCCTTTTCTCCTTCCCTCCCTCCCCCTCCTCCCTCTTCTTTCCTTCCTTTCTCTCTTTCTTTCTACCTCCCTCCCTCTCTCTCCCTCCCTCCTTCTTTCCCTCCCTCCCTCCCTCTCTCTTCCTTCTCTTTCTTTCTCTTTTCTTTTTTTCTCTCTCTTTCTTTCTGTCTTTCTGCCTGCCCGCCCGCCCGCCCGCCCACCCTCCCTGCTTTCTTTCTTTCATTCTTTCTTTCTTTCTTTTTTTGCATGAGGCTTTCAGTTCAGCTCCATTTCTGCAGGCTCAGGTGTTTCCCTGCCTCTCTAGTGTTGATCTATTGATGAAGCTGGCATTTCTTTGAGTTAGAAGCATACCAGGATTTCAAGAGGTAATTCCTCACAGCCCTCCTTTGGCCTTGTTCTGACAGAGGAAAGTTTGGCTCACTGACACCAGGGAGAGTAAGGTGTGCATGTGTACACATGTGCACTGTGCTGTGGAAATATGCTTGTACTTTTTTCATAATGCAGTTGCATTCTACTTGGAAAAAAAACGCCATTTTGGGGGTCAAAATCCAATGTAGTAAAAAGTGGGAAACAGTTCCTTAGTTCCCTTGTAAAGAAGAAGGAAAGAGAAAACATTTCTACCATAGTTGATATAATTTTTTTTTTAATCAGTTGTGGGGCCTGGACTCTGGGCCTGGGCGCTGTCCCTCAGCTCTTCAGCTCACGGCTAGCGCTCTACCACTTGAGCCACAGTGCCACTTTCGGCCTTTTCTGCTTATGTGGTGCTGAGGAATTGAATCCAGGGCCTCATGCATGTGAGGCAAGCACTCTACCACTGAGCTACCTTCCCAGCCCTTGATATAATTTTTAACAGTGACACTGGCTCCAAGTAATTTTTTTTTTTTTAACCGGTCCTAGGGTTTAAAGTCAGGGCCTGGGCACTGTCCCTGAGCTTCTTTTTGCTTAAGGCTAGCACTTTACCACTTGAGCCACAGTACCACTTCCTCCTTTTTCTGTTTATGTGGTGGTGAGAAATCCAACGTAGGACTTAGTGCATTCTAGGCAAGTACTGTACCACTAAGCCACATTCCCATCTTCTAAACAATTTTGTATGACTCGTGTGTGTGTGTGTGTGTGTGTGTCTGTGTGTGTGTGTGTGTCTGTGTGTCTGTGTGTCTGTGTATGCACGCACACACCAGTCCTGAAACTTGAACTCAGGGCCTGGGCACTGTCCCTGAGCTCTTTGCTCAAAGCTAATACTCTACCAGTTGAGCCACTTCCTGCTTTTGCTGGCTAGAAATCAGAGTCTCACGGACTTTCTTGTCCATGCTGATTTCAAACCAAGATCCTCAGATCTACCCTTCTGAGTAACTAGTATTATAGGCATGATCCACCATTACCTGGATTCATTTTGTTCTTAAAGAGAGTGAGCTTTGTTTGACAAAACAGCATAAACTCTTAAACAGGGAAGTTTCAGCATGCATATGGAAAGTAGAATCTTGAGCGGTTTCTTCCCTGAATAAGCTATTGGAAGTTGTTGGTGTTTTTGGCCTGAGAGGTACTCATTATTTCTCCTACCCCATAATAAAGGCTTTCTGTTTTTCACAAGCCACCAAATTATGTGTTTAGCTTATCTAGATCCCGAGGTACCAGGAATGAGACTGGGGAGACTCCTTAGTTGCTCCAGACAAGTGTTGGTTGAGCGACCCCAAGTGGTGGAGGGGAATCTGCTTGCTGTGCAGTACTGTGACTGCATGGTGCTGTGACTACGTTTGTCCTGCAGCCTGCGGTGACTGGGTCTTGTGTTTTCTTTTGTTTTGCTAGTGATGATGGCCAAAGAGAAGCCGCCGATCACAGTGGTGGGAGATGTCGGGGGGCGCATCGCCATCATTGTGGTATGTGCCCTGTCTTTGAAGTTTTCTACTCTGGGGTTGCGTTTCTAGAAACAATGGTGGGTTTCCATGGATCTGTCCATTTCTCACCCAAACTCTTTAGGAAAAGCAGCAGAACTTCTTATGTAAATGAACAGATAAAGGTATACATCCAAGAGCTGAACCTCCCCTAGGAAGTTCAGCATCATGACTTACCTTTTATCTGACGGGCTCTGATGGGCCCCTAAGTCAGCTTGCTTAATCCTTAAACTTGCAGGCATGAGACAAAATAAAGATGAGCTGTCCTGTTTGTCACTAATGGGACCCAAGAGTCCCTAGGCAGCCTGGCTTTGCACTGACATGCTAGCTCCACTTGCAAACACTTTTCTGGCTAGAAAGCTATGGGACATTTGTGGGTGCCCTCTATTTCTGTCTTCTTTCTCTTGGAAAGCAGTAAGGGGTTGCTGGCTCTGTGGGACGAGTCGGGAATCTGCAAGGGGGGAGCAAGCCTGCTAGTCCTCTGCTCCAGCTTCCACTCATGCACACTGCCAAGAAGGCTCTCAGATGCTTCCGCTGCCATCTGTGGATCCTCAGCTTTATCACTAAAACCTTTCCAAACAAAATGCAACTGAGGGGCCAGGCACCAGTGGCTCACACCTGTAATCCTAGCTACTCAGGAGGCTGAGATCTGAGGATTGCAGTTCAAAGCCAGCCCAGGCAGGAAAATCCATGAGACTCTTATCTCAACCACCAGAAAACCAGAAATGGTGCTATGGCTCAAATGGTAAAGGCTAACATTGAACTACAAAGTTGAGGGATAGCAGCCAGGCCCAGCGTTCAAGCCCCACCACTGACCAAAAAAAAACAAAAAAGCAACTGAGGGGCTGGGAATGTGGCTTAGTGGTAGAGCACTTGCTTAGCAAACGTGAAGCCCTGGGTTCAGTTCTGCAGTACCACATACACATAAAAAGCCAGAAGTGGCACTGTAGCTCAAGGGGTAGAGTGCTAAACTTGAGCAAAAGAAATCCAGGGACAGTGCCCAGGCCCTGAATTCAAGCCCCAGGACTGGCCCCCCCCAAAAAAAAAAGCAACTAAAAAAAAATTTAAAAAAAAAAGCAACTGAGTTATGGTCTCTATGGGCTGGAAGAGAGGGCAGCCCCGGGACACTTGCTCCTCTTGCAGGATGATATTATTGACGACGTGGAGAGTTTTGTTGCTGCTGCCGAGATCCTGAAGGAGAGAGGAGCTTACAAGATCTACGTTATGGCCACGCATGGCATTCTGTCCGCCGATGCCCCCCGCCTGATTGAGGAGTCCTCCATTGATGAGGTCTGTGTGTGCTGGAACAGTTTGGACCATGCAGCCAAAGTCAGGATTTGCTGCTGTGCTTTCTGTGAATGATAAGGACTCCACTGGTCATTAGCTGCTCAATCTCCTGCTTACAGCTAGCAGCTTTGTTGAGGATGTCTACTTTGACATATACACCTCTCGTATTTGTCACTTCCACTCCTTAGTGTAATTTGACACTGTAGTAACATTTGAGACTTGACTTCTTCCCAGCATGGAGCTGGGACTCACTAGTGAGTATAGGACATTTCTCAGGATTTGATTTTGGTGTTCTTTTTTTTCTCCCAAAGTCTGAGATCAGGACTCAAACTCGGTATCTGATGCTTTTGCTCATTGTTTAGCACTCCACCTGCTGAGCCACATTGCTAACCTTGAGTTCTGTGTTCTGAGCCACCTAACCTTTCCCTGTGTAGAACTGGTTTAGTCTGTAAAGCTATAGCTGAGCGCCAGTGGCTCACACCTGTAATCCTAACTACTCAGGAGGCTGAGATCTGAGGATGATAGTTCAAAGCCAGACCAGGCTTATGTTACCTCCAGCTACTCACCAAAAAGCTGGAAGTAGAGCTGTAGCTGAAGTGGTAGAGTGCTAACCTTGAGCAAAGACGCTCAGAGAATTTAAGCCCTAAGACTGGCACCAAAAACAACAACAACAAAGCAGATCCAAAAGGGCAAGAGGCATATGCTCAGCCCTGGGTAGCAGGCTTAAAACCCTGAGTTTGAACCCTAATATAAGCAAAAAAACCTCTAGCCCAGCACTGAGGTCCCAGGCCTGTAGTCCTAGCTACTCAGGAGACTGAGATCTGAGGATCATGGTTCAAAGCCAGCCTGGGCAGGAAAGTCAAGTGCCATGGCTCAAGTGGTAGAGCACTCGCCTTGAGTTGAAGAGCTCAGGGACAGCACCCAGGCTCAGAGTTCAAGCCTCATGACCTACCAAAAAAAAAAAAAACTCTCTGGAACAAAATCTCATTGGGATTGGAGCTGTGGACACTGCCAGCACTACCTTTCAGAGTCACTGTGTTTATTTTCTTCTGCCATCCGCCTAGGTGGTGGTGACAAATACGGTCCCTCACGAGGTCCAGAAGCTGCAGTGCCCCAAGATAAAGACTGTGGACATCAGTCTGATTCTTTCTGAAGCCATTCGGAGAATCCACAATGGGGAGTCCATGGCATACCTCTTCCGGAACATCACAGTGGATGACTAGCCCATGGGTGCCTCCACCCTGGAACTACAGAGGACAGCACTACAGAAGAGCGCTGTGGTTACGTGCAGTGTGTCCTGGCAGGGGAGGATGGAGCGGTCTCTCACCCAGACTGCTTGGGGAGGAGGCACTAAGATGGGCAAGGAGCTCTCGAGGGGATAAGGAAGAGGCCTTCACTGTCCACCCTGTACCTTAGCAGAACTTGCAGAAGTTCTCCTGGATAGAAGCAAAAACTCTAGTTGATAATGAATATATAATATGAATATATAGGGCTTTATTATTTCATCCCAGTGTTTCAGCTCTGGGTGTCACGTTGAACTTGATCAGGGAATAGAATGGCCCTGGAATTGGTTCTGTCTAGTTGTCCTCTCCCTAGTTAAGCTTATAGAAGTTTTATATAGAGAATCTTTTTTTTTTTTTTTAGAAACTACTGTGCCATCTGGGCAGGGTAGCACTGCCTGTAACCGCAGCCTTTGGGAGGTTGAGGTAGGAGGGTCGCAAGTTTGAGCCAGCTTGGGCTGCAAAGCAAGTCCAGGCCAGCCCAGGCTGCATAGTTAGACACTGCCTCAAAAAAGAAAGAACAAAACAAGCTAACAGAAATTGCTGTGCCTACTGCCATCAAACAAACATTGGTGTCCCTGCCCCTCTTGAGGTTTCAGTTAGAGAATAGATCCTATTTCTGGGTAACTGCATTGCTCTGAAATTGCAAATAAAATAACTTTTTTGTCTCTCTGGTCTCTTCCCTTGGTTCACAGCTCCCTGATCTCCTACCCCCCCCCCCACCCCCAGCTACTGACTCACATCAGCCAGACTGTAGAAAGCACTGGCTACAAAATAAAGGGTGGTCAGGGTCCAAGGCTGCTGTGGACCTAAGATACAAGTCTCCTGCGCTCCGTCCTTCCCTCAGTGTCCGAGTTCAATCCTTGTTGAAGGTGTAAGTTCACAGGAGAACGAAGTGAGCTGTCAGTTTCCTCTGTCAATGTAACACTAACTGCATGCTTAGGGACTGAGCTTTCCTCTGAATCTCAGCACTGTAGTCTGCCTGTCAGGAAGATTCATTGCAAATGCAGCAAGCCAGGCTTTTTATGCCCTGGAGCCTGCACCAAGTCAAGACAGAGGAGCGTCTGCTGGGAAATGAGCTGGGGTTGCCTTGGGCTCTCAGCTCCTGAGAAACAGAAGTTCCTTTATTTGTACAATTGTATTTCTCTGTTGGGAGGTTTCCTCTACTTTTAATCCCTTTCCTGAGGACAAGAAAAGTTCCCAGTCCGCAATCAAGACCTTAAGCACATTGGCTTTTTCAGCACACAAATAACTTGCTTTCTGTGAATGATCCAAGTACACAGACTTGTTCAAGGAACTCAACCATTAAAATAATGAGTGGTGGTGGAGGAAGAGCTGGGGTACAGTTGAGCAGAGGACCTGGTTCTTAATTAATAGGTTGAACAGATGACATAGTGTTTTGGGGGATTCTATCTTTCTTCTGTTGGGAAGAAGTTGGGATTTGAAAGCTAGGATTCAGACTGGGAAGGTGGCTTGGTGGCAGAACACTTGCCTTGCATGTACCAGGCCCTGGGTTTGATTCCTCAGCAGCACATAAGCAAAAAAAAGCTGAAGTGGTACTTTTGCTCAAGTGGTAGCATGCTCACCTTGAGCTGAAGAGCTGAGGGACAGTGTCCAGGCAGAGTTCAAGCCCCATGATGGACCAAACACACACATACACACTAAAGATTATAAAGCTGAGCTACCGAGGGGTTAGAGCACTAGCCTTGAGCTGAAGAGCTGAGGGACAGTGTCCAGGCAGAGTTCAAGCCCCTTGATGGACCAAGACAACAAAGAAGGTTATAAAGATGATGTACAGAGGGGTTACAGTTACATTAGCCAGATATAGAGTATACTTCTTTTTGGATATGTCACAGTGTCCCATGCCCTCGCCCAGTCTTTCCCTCTCATCCCCACCCACAAGATGTATAGTTGATTTTCCAGGTGGAATCTGAGTACTGAGTACCACTGCTGCATTTGCCTTGAGCTTTTCTCCCTCCCTGACTTCCTCCTTCCCTCCCTTCTTCTTTACTTCCTCCCTCTCTCCCTCCCTTCCTCCCTCCCTGACTTCCTCCCTCCTTCCCTCCCTCCCTTCCTCCCTCCCTCTCTCCCTCTCTCCCTCCCTCCTTCCCTCCCTCGATGACTTCCTCTCTCCCTTCCATTTTTGTTTTCCCGCTGGCGCTCTCCCTCTTGAGTCAGGCTCCACTGGCGGCTTTTGGGTGGGAGTGCCCTAGACCTGGGCGGGCTGCCCGCGTGTCCGGGCGGGCGGAGCGCGCAGGCCGGGCTCCCGCTGGGGGCT